GGGAATTTGGGGTTTTTGGTTATTTTCAAGAGCACAAGTATGCCCAATTTTTAGGCAAGTAACATAGTAAGCCGGTTCTCATTCATATGCAACCTCTTGTTCAAACGCTTTACCATTAGGATCTTGTACTTTAACACTTTTCGGAAAGGGTCTTGTAACATCCATCTCCACAAGTAGTCTAGCATATGATATTCTAGTAGAGCTAGTTGTACAGTCATCCACATATATACGGTTGCCAAGCGCACTACCAATCTTTCTAAGAGACTTCATGGTCCAACAATTAAGAGGCAAGTTTGGTAACTTAATCCATAATGGAATAGTATTTAAAACTTCCTCGTATAGATTGAAATCCGGAGTCCATGCTTTCATTATTACTGGTCGGTTGTTAATAGTGTGAGGCCCCGAGTACAATACCTCATTTCTCTCCTCTAAGTTCTGGAATCTAATCACAAAGTAATCTTCATTATGGTAGTAAATTTGTGGTTTCATTGCAAATTTTCACTGTGAAACCAGAAACCTTTCCATGGCTCCTATTGTTGGAGATTCTACAATAACATATAGGACTATAGCTGAGCTCCACTTCTCATTCTCAATGTCTTCTGGATCAAGCTGAACTATTTTTTCTCCTTCGTGAATCATCGGCACTATAAATTGCAGATTCATACCCCTCGAAGCCATTTTGTTACCAGTAACCACACTAGCCCATGATTGTATGCCAGAATTAGTAGGGTTCAGTTCAGTTTTTCTTTGCACCTCGTCTGCCCTTGTTTTACAATTATCTCCACCCATTTCAGCTTCAATCCCCAGTATCTTAGGACTTCCACTATGTACTTTTCCTGTTGATTTAGCATCAATTGGCTTGGAATTACTTTCAGCCGTAGCTAATAACTGTTACTATTTTTGAATGACCACTTGTAAATCTGACTATTTTTTAATTTCTCCCGACCCATACTTATCTATGGCCCAAATACTTTAGGGATCCACAATACGCTTTTCTATGAGAGTATGATGACATATTTTATGCAAAAATACTCTTGTAATATCATCTTAATTATATATAAACACATAAAAAAATACTTCACCTATATACACAATACAATTCCGGAAAGAAATTCAATAAATGTGGCTCCACCAATATGAAGGCCAATGGCGGAGCCGCATGCGCGCAAGAGGTGTCAACCGACACCTTTTCATGGGAAAATTATATTGTTTAGCTCGATAATTGCTTTTTAAAATATGTATATAAACTATATGATGACACCCCTTGATTTCTTGGTGAGTTATTTTTTTATATTTTGATTTTCCTTAATGAAAATTCTGGCTCCGCCACTGATGAAGGCTATGAGCAACTCAATTTCAATGCATGTTATTAAGAATTTAGGACACTATACATGCACAAAGTAGAAGTATCGTGCGAGCTAGCAGCATGTTAGTATTCCAAAGTAAAAAGGGAAACCAAAAAAAGAGAGGGAATGGGGAAAAGAAAAACTAAAACAACAAAGATTAAAGGAAATATTAAAAAGGGTATATAATTTTAATTATATACTCATTTTTACATGTATTAACCATATCGGACGCCCTATTTGGTCGCCCCCATTTAACGTATACTCATTTTTTAAAAAAGTTTTAATTTTTACCCACTTTTTAAACAACTTTAGCCCCTTTCTCCTTCTCCTTCTCCTCCTTCGTTTTCTTCTTGTTTTTCTTCTTTCTTCTGTTGTTGTTGGTGCTGCTATGAAACTTCAGTTCATGAGATGATTGTCATAAATATATTTATTAGATTATTTAAAAATAAATTATAAATAATTACGTAAGTTAGTAGAGAATAATTTGTGAATATTTCCTTGTACGTAAGTTTGTAGACAATGATAATTCTATTCTTTTCACATTTATTGTTTCCAAAATTTATGATTTAGATAATGTTGGCAATCTGATTATTTATCTAGTATGTTAAAAAGCTTTTTCAAAAATTTCAGTTTATATAATGCTGAAGTTTTTACAAATGAACTAAATAATTTCAACATCTTCTGCTGAAGTTTTTGAAAAACCTTTATGACAAAACTAATGAATCCAGGACAAAAGAACTTCAGTTTTTAGTGCTGAAGTTTTTACAAATAAACTAAATAACTTCAGCATCTTCTGCTGAAGTTTTTAAAAAAGCTATATGACAAAACTAATGAATCCAGGACAAAAAAACTTCAGTTTATAGTGCTGAAGTTTTTACAAATGAACTAAATAACTTCAGCATCTTCTGCTGAAGTTTTTGAAAAAGCTTATCTCGGACAAAAAAAACTTTAGCTTATTTAGTGCTGAAGTTTTTATAAATGAACTAAATAACTTCAGCATCTTCTGCTGAAGTTTTTGAAAAAGTTTAATGACAAAACTAATGAATTCAGGACAAAAAAACTTCAGCTTATTTAGTGCAATTACAAACAAAAACTTCAGCAAATAGAGAACAAAACTTCAGCTACTATGCTTAAGTTCAGTAATTACAAACAAAAACTTCAGCAAATAGAGAACAAAACTTCATCAAAAACTTCAGCAAATAGAGAACAAAACTTCATCTACTATGCTTAAGTTCAGCAATTTACAAACAAAAACTTCAACAAATAGAGAACAAAACTTCATTCAGCAATTACAAACAAAAACTTCAGCTCACTTGCTACTTCAGGTCCGTCTACTAGAATGTTAAAGTTTTGCGTGATTGCCTTTGCTACTTCAGTCTCGTATGCTAAAGTTACGCGAAAAAGTGGGTGCGCTTGCAATTTTTTTTGCAAAGCGGACACAAGTTAAAACGTGACCTAAAAAGCGGGTATAGATGCAAATGCCCCGTAGGTTATTTACTATACAATATTTTTTCAGATTTCCAGATCATGCTTGTTACATACAGTAACCTAATATCATAGATAATTTAACATGATGGTGCAAAATAATTGTACACTTAAAAAAAGGGTTAATTTCAAAAATAGCCAGATTTATAACTGGTAACTGCAAAATAGCCACAATTTCAAAAAGTAATTGAAATTTGGCCACTTTTCATGTAAAGATAAAATCTGAACAAAAACACTGTTAAAATTCCGAAAATATTCCAGCATAATATGTTGGAGTTCGAATTTTTTACATATGAGCTTCCAACATAATATGCTAGAAGTTTATATGCATGAGCTCCATAATCCCGCATATCATGCTGAAACTTTCTGTGTCCTAGAGTTCCAACATAATATGCTAGAAGTTTATATGCAGGAGCTCCATAATCCCGCATATCATGATGGAACTTTTCCGTGTTTCAGCAAAACAGTGGCTATTTTTTAATGACTTCGCAAATGCAGACTATTTTTTATTACCAGTCCGAAAAATGGCTAGTCCGTGCTATTTTGACTTTAAATAAAGCCGAATATGCTTCTGCAACATGTATAGGTCTTTGTTTTAAATTTATCCTACAGCTGCTTCCAAAAAATAGTTGCATATAAACTTAACTATATGGAGCATATTCAGCTTTATACAATACTTGATTGTATTGTATTTAGGCAAAATATATACTTTACTCATCGACCTTATCCCCAAATCTCTCTTACACACCTCTTAAATACGGAAATAATATTACACACCAAAACTTTTAAAGGTATGTCAATTACACACCACTTCGGTGTTTGACCACATCTTCTTAAAGATTGCTCTTACACGCGCTAATCAGCATTTGACACGTGTCAAATCGAGAGAAAAAAATTTGAAAAAAAAACCTCTGCCCCCCCTCCTTAAAACCTCCTCTTCTCATCTTCCCAAAGAAAAAACAGAAAAAAAAACCCCTCCCCCCTCCTCCCTTCTCATCTTCCCAACCCCATCATCTTCTCCTCCGCCACCATACTATCACCAACCCTTCCACCGCAAGAACCTTCTTCCCTAACTATAGTTCCAATTCTTTGATGATTTTTAACAAGTTTTAATAACATCCATCACAAATCCTTATACAAATTTCAAATTCAAGCTCAAACCCAAAGCTTCAAACTTGTTAATGGCGTTTTTTAAATTTTATCAAAATTAATTACCTAAGCAAATTTTTACTCAACAATAATCACGAATTCAAACTAATTTTCTAGGTCATGGAATACCAAAATCAACAAGACACAATTAAATTTTTAAATTTTTTCAAAAAGTCAATAATGGTGATTTGTACAATAGCTCCTATATTCTTCTTTGTTTTTTCTTCTTAGTCATGGGGATTGGAGAAACGAAACATAAGGGGTAGATAAAACTAGGATGGGGGTTGGGGAAGAAGACGAAATTTGGGGGGAGGGGGAACACTAGGGTTTAGGGTTGGGGAAGAAGACATGGGTTATATTTGTTTTCTTTAATTTGAAAAGAAAATAGTTAAAAAAAGGGGAAAATAAAAAAATAAAAAACCTAATTTCACGTGAATTTTTTAGTTTTACGCGCCTTTTTATGTGTAATATACGCGTGTGACACATGGAAAAAGAGGTGTGTAATTGACACACTTTTAAAAGTTTTGGTATGTAATACTATTCCCGTATTTAAGAAGTGTGTAAGAGGGATTTGAGTACAAGGTCGATGGGTATAATATGTATTTTGCCTTGTATTTAAACAATACAAGTTTAGATATTTCAACTACTATGTCAATTTCCATACATTATCTTGATCAAGTTGTTATTATTTAAAGAAGAATCAAGTAAGACAAATACCTGCCCAAAATGTTAAACTATATTCTTCATTTTGGAATTGATAGTCTGTTAAGAATATATTCACATGGTTTCCAAAAATCTGTCTTGTATTGAGAATAAAAAGGACTTGATAATGATAGCAGATCATAATTCAAGAAATTAAAAGAGATAAAGTTCAAAAACTTACTTCATGACCTCTATATATCTTTGTCCAAGAACTATACTCAAACTCTATATTTTCTCTCTCACACACACTGCTATAGTTTCTTCTATACACTCTTGTCAATGGCACAAAAAAGAGAAAACATAGTAATGTTTCCATTAATGGCACAAGGCCATTTCATCCCATTTTTAGCATTAGCTCTCAAACTAGAGCAGGAAAAAGGTTATTCCATAACCTTCATCACCACCTCTCTCAATATCATGAAACGCCGACCATCTATTCCACCACATTCCTTCATTCGTCTTCTTGAAATTCCTTACGATTGCACATTCCACGGCCTCCCTCCCAACACTGAATCCACCGAGAATCTGCCACTTTCGCTCTTCATCCGATTCCTCGAATCCACTCCCTCTCTCAAACCAGCCTTCACTAAAATCATGTCCAATCTTTTTCTTGAAGAAAATTGCTCTAGGCCACCACTTTGTGTCATTTCAGACATGTTCTTTTCATGGACAGCTAAAATTGCTCATACATTTGGAATTTTTCATGTTATATTCAATGCTGGTGGATGTTTTGGTATGGGGGCTTATCATTCAACTTGGATAAATCTTCCTCGTGTAGGAAAAAAAATTAGATGATGAATATTTTCTTCCTGGTTTCAAAAATTATAAGCTTCTTGTTAAAGAATTGACTGAAGATATTAGAGCCATTACAGGTAACGGTAGATTCAAGGTTTAAACTCAATAGTTCAACTCTTAATATTCTTAGCAACAAAATACATTGTACTATAGAAATTACGAAATGTTAGTGTTTTTTACATTTACTAATTACGTTTTTTACAGAACCTATGCCATTTCCTCAGACCATGTTTCAAGAATGGCTAGAGACCGATGGAATGTTGTTTAATACAGTGGAGGATATGGATTTGATGGGGTTGGATTATTATAAAAAGCAATTCCCTTGTCCAATATGGACAATAGGACCAATTGTTTCATCATTTGGTAGCAAAGCAAGAGCTGGAAAATCATCAGAAGCAGAAAGTATTTCAAAGATTTGTGCAAATTATCTTGACTCCAAATCTCCAAATTCAGTTCTTTATGTAGCATTTGATTCTCAATGTACATTAACAGAGTCACAAACAGAAAACTTAGGCAGAGCACTTGAATCTAGTGGGGTAAATTTCATATGGATAAATAGGAACTCATCAAATATTAATCAATAAAATGAGTGGTTACCAAGAATTAAATATAGAAAAAGGACTTATAGTCCAACAATGGGCACCACAAATGGAGATTTTGTCACATAAATCAATTGGCGGCTTTTTGAGTCATTGTGGATGGAATTCAGTAATGAAAGCTCTTACAAATGGAGTTCCAATTCTTGGATGGCCAATGGGAGTAAAGCAGTCTTTTAATGCAAAGATGTTAGAGGAAGATCTTAAAGTTTGTGTTAGAATAATGGCTAGTGGAGTAGTAATTAGCTCTGATATAAAACATAAGGAGATAGTGAGGAAAATTGAGATTTTATGAAGGAAACATAAGGAAAGGAGATGAGAAAAAGAGCTTTAATGGTGAAAGAGATGATTCACAATGCTTTTATTACTACTAAAGAAGGTTTAAAGGGTTCTTCAATTATAGCCATGGGTGAGTTTCTTAATGCTGCATTTTGTATGAGGAAGAACATTTTTGGATCACCAGAAAAACTATTACATGCATTAATAGTATAACGTTTTTTAAATTAATATTTGTTCTATTTTTTTGTTTATTGTTAATGTAATTCATCAAAAAACCTATTTTTCTTTTCATGTTTTCATTCTTATGATCTGATTTATATATGTGTTATCAAAGGCGCGTTTAAAGCTCGCTTAAGCCCTGAAGTGAGACTCAAAACATGTTGAGCACTTCGCCTCGCTTAGTGGGCGCTTTAGTATCGTCATCAACGCTCTAAGACATACTTTTCCTTGCCAATGTGTGTAATCCTGAAGAGGCGACACGAAACAATTGATATTTCACTTTGTCATAATTGTTTTCAATTTCTTTGTCCATATATTTATTATTCATGATTATAATTATTAGTCTTGGACAATGCATACCTATTTGTATTTTTTTCTCCCTTGCGCCCTTTTTCATTAAAGCCCATACTGTATTTGTGCTTTGCGCTTAATGCCCCAATGGAGATTAGAGTTTTTCTGCGCTTTTCGCCTTTGATAACACTGATTTGTATTCTTCCAATGATCTGTAACACTGCCTATGTTCAATTCTATAAGGACAAAACTTGGTCTCAGCTGGCAAATATGCCCTCCAACTTTGAGTGTGCACAAGTAGGCACCTTAACTTGTCTTCACTTTGTCAGTTGAATGCTCCAACTTACAAAATGATCATCTAGACACCTTCAAAATTTAAGTGCCATATCAGCATTTGTGTTTACGTGTTCAACTTTATTTAAGTTGAGGTGCCTACTTTGTGCACACTCAAAGTTGGAGGATATACTTGTCAGCTAAGGCCAAGTTTGAGGGCATGTTTATGTATTATGCCAATTATATATCTGGGTTAAGTTTTTCACCAAATAGTAAGTGTAATTGAACATCTCTTTCGGTATTGTTTTGGAACTTGTCATGAATACAACAGACTGCATACCAAATTCAGAGGCAAATCCAAAACTTACCATATTAAAAAATGAATGCAATTGCTATGTATATGAGTCCTTTAATATTTTTGTATATGTATACATGATTAGAGTCGAAACCAATCGGTATAGTTGTAACCATTGAATACCATCTCGAGCCACCTATGACGAAATCGGACCACTTTGAAATTAAGATTCGGATAAACTTGTAAGTCCTTTTAAGAAATTAAGACATGTTCTCTTCTTCCTAAGGATAGAAGACATCCATCAATCTCTACATGTCATTGGAGGACAGACTGTAAATATTTTGCAGTTCTGTTTTCTGTTTTTTCTTCATAACCATTTTGTTAAAAGAAAAAATCTTTTTCATTTCTGAAACCCAATTATTTTGTATTCCTGAAACTAGATAATCATTAAAAAATGATTCTGTCTGCAATGTTATTAATTATCGAGTTCAAGTTTTTATTCTGCTCATAATGTATTAATCTGTCACGATCCGGATTTTTCACTCTCGGGAGTCGTGATGGCTCCTACTCGTGGAAGTTAGGCAAGCCGAGTATTTTAAATTCATTAACTCTTTTACTTAGCCCTTTTTAACAGTTTAAATCAACATGCGATCAACAACGAATATTAACAATAATTAAATACATGCAGAAGACGTAATCTGATAACTTAACCCAAAAACAAGTACGACCATACCAAGTACATCTCTACCCGGAACCGGTGTCATAATATCACGGACCGTCTACGAATACTACATACAATTGTCTGGAAAGAAAGATACAATCTATCTCTGAAATAAATGAAAACAAAATATAAAGATAGAAGAGAACGCCGGGGCCTGCGGACGCCTGCAGGACTACCTCGGGATCTCTGACTGGACTGAAGGCAACCACCCAAAGCTACGGTCCAAAAGCTACCGCTCCGGGATCTGCACACAGTGCGGAGTGTAGTATCAGCACAACCGACCCCATGTGTTGGTAAGTGCATAGCCTAACCCCGGCGAAGTAGTGACGAGGCTAGGACCAGACTACCAGATAAACCTGTGCAGTTATATAATATACAACGGAAAATAAAACAGAAATAAACATGTAAAGATGGGAGGGGGACATGCTGCGGGGGAATCATTTACCAACAGTAATTTGAGAGACAACATAAATAATAATTTAGAATTTATATCAAAATAATAAAGAACTCGTAACCAACCAATAAACACTTTTATTATCTATTGTTGCGGCGCACAACCCGATTCAAATTATAAAAACTCTGTTGCAGCATGCAACCCAATCCATATCATTTATCACTGTTGCAGCGTGCAACCCGATCCAGTTATATTATTGTTGCGGTGTGCAATCCGATCCAAACATAATATTGTTGCGGTGTGCAACCCGATCCATATATGCAGTTCAACACCAATCACAAATAGAGTCCCGTCAAGGGATCAATAAAGAAACAACACTATCCGGCAAGGGAATCGACAGTATAAGTAAATACGTCCCGGCAAGGGAAAAATCAGCAATAACCAAACTTGTTCCAACATCTAACTTCCTCAACTAGCACCACTCAATCATAAGTAATTTCCACGAAAACAATCACAATCCTTGTTCAACACAGAGAATCAACAACTTAGGCATTCATAGTATTTTTAAGAACACAACAATTTCAATTTAAGACTCACGGTCATGCTTGACACCAACGTATAGATACTCGTCACCATGCCTATACGTCGTACTGAACAAGTAACACGTAGCAAATAGGACACAACTCCTAATCCCTCAAGCTAAGGTTAGACCAAACATGTACCTCGAACTTCCACGACCAACTCAAGCCTCAAACACCGCTTTTCCTTTTGAATTTTGCTCCAATTCAATTGTATATAGACATAATCGACTTAATAACATCAATAAATGCTAAATAATTCAATTCCAATGCTTAATTATAGATTTCCTATCATTTTTCCCCAAAAGTAAAAAATCGACCCTGGGGCCGCTTGGTCAAAACACAAGATTCGGACCAAAACCCGATCACTCATTCACCCACAAGCCCGAATATGTAATCAGTTTCGAAATCCACCCCAAAATGAGGTCTAAATTCCAATTATACAAAAAGCTCTAACTCTACCCAAATCCCTAATTTTCTACCCTTAAGAATATGATTTAGGCCTAGAAATCTAATGGGTGTTAATGAAAATTGAAGAAAATGAGTCTAAGATTACATATCTATGAATTTGTGGTGAAGTTCTCTTTCAAAAATTGCCCAATTTGGAGTTTGGAAGAAGAAGTTATGAGTTTTGGGTTAAGTCCCGTATGTGTTCTGTTACTGTTTAAATGACTGGGCAAAATTGGTCTCTGCGATCGCGAACAAGGGTATGCGATCGCATAGGGTAAGGGAGATTGGGCACTGCGATCGCGGACTAGGGATTGCGATCGCATAGAGGAAAAATGGTTCCCTTCCCGGGCTTGGTTTAACCCATTGCGATAGCGGGGAAAGCAATGCAATCGCATAGAACAACTGGTGACCCCCCAGAATTAACTCTACGCGATTGCGGTCGCATAGCACAAAATAGGGCCCCCCAAAATTACACTATGCGATCGCGAACCTTCATATGCGATCTCATAGTACAAAGGAACTGGACACCAGCAAACAGCACAAAACCAGATTTTCTAAGTCTAAAAATACTCCGACACCTATCCGAAACTCACCCGAGCCCTCGGAGCTCCAAACCAAACATGCACACTACCTCAAAAACACCCTATGGACTTACTCGTGCGATCAAATCGCCAAAATAACATCAACAACTACAATTTTAGCATCAAAAGCATGAAATCACTTAAGAACTTCAAATTTTTCAATTTTCTCAAATACGGTCTGATTCACATCATTTCAAGTCCGTTTCTTACTAATTTTACAGAATCAACTTAAGTCATATACAAGACCTGTATCGGGCTCCAAAACCAGAATACGGGCCCGATACCATCAAATTTTAAACACATTTCATTTCCAAAAACTCATGAATAATCCAAAAAATAATTTTCTTTAAAAATTCATTTCTCGGGCTTGGGACCTCAGAATTCGATTTCGGACATACGCTAAAGACCCATATTTTCCTACGGACCCTCCGGGACCATCAAATCACGAGTTCAGGTCCGTTTATCCAAAATATTGACCGAAGTCAACTTAAATGTATTTTAAAGTCAAAATTCATCATTTTCAAAGATTTTCACATAATGGCTTTCCGGCTACGCGCCTGGACTGTGCACGCAAATTGAGGTGATACTAACAAAGGTTTTTAAGGCCTCAGAATGCAGAATTTATTTCTAAAACAAGTGATAACCTTTTGGGTCATCACATTCTCCACCTCTAAAACAACCGTTCGTCCTCGAACGGATATAAGAAGGAAGTACCTGAGTCAGAGAAAAGGTGGGGATAACGGTTCGGCATATCAGACTCAAACTCCCAAGTCGATGCCTCAGTAGGCTGACCTCTCCACTGAACACGAACAGAAGGAAAACTCTTCGATCTCAACTAACGAACCTGCCGGTCTAGAATAGCTACCGGCTCCTCCTCGTAGGACAAGTCCTTGTCCAACTAGATAGTGCTGAAATCTAACACGTGGGATGGATCGCCGTGATACTTCCGAAGCATGGACACATGTAACACTGGATGCACGACTGATAAGCTCGGTGGTAACGCAAGTCTGTAAGCCACCTCTCCCACTCGATTAAGAATCTCAAACGAGCCAATGAACCTAGGGCTAAGCTTGCCCTTCTTCCCAAATCTCATCACGCGTTTCATAGGCGACACCCGAAGCAATACCTGCTTACTCACCATGAAAGCCAAATCACGAACCTTACGGTCGGCATAACTCTTTTGCCTGGACTGAGCTGTATGGAGCCTATCCTTA